TTCCATTGCCGTTTCTCTTCCGCCCTGTTTCCGCGCATTAATATATATATGTGTGTATATATATTTTTTTTGGGGGGGGGGGGTTTGGTTTGGGTTCTGTTTATTGCACTTATGATTCAATGCAAGAAAATAAACTAATTTTAAAGGTCACAGATCTTTGTAATACTTGGTTTATTTACATAATGCCTTTCATTTCTGTTTGGCCCGTCCCTGAGCTGCTGTCTTTCAGTAACTGTGGCCCCTGAGCAGTTCAGATGAATAGCTCTGGTGTAATTGTTCTAAATTTGAGAGTCGCAGCTGAAATAACTCAGTCTCATCAGCCTAGTTTTGGTGACGACCAAAGCAGCTGATCAGATGAGCTCAGAGCTGAGAAGGAACCTAAAGTTGAAGCGAGTCAGAACGATACGAGAGGGCAAGATCATTTAGGTCTTTATAATCAATCAATATGAGAAATTTAAAATCAATTCTGTGGAGACCAAGAGAAGAGAGGTGCTCCAATCTGTGTGTTTCACTGAAGACGCAGAAAGCAGCTTTTTAAAACGAGTAGGAGGCATGAAGGAGAGCCCTAACTGACCAACATAAAGTCATAAAGGCATATAATCTTCTCTCTAGGCCGAGTTTAACCAAAAACAGATTAAGTTTTGTTGTCTGTCTTAACTGAAAGCAACTTTTCTGCAGATCAGAGTTTTAATCTGTTTATTAAACATAAAACCCAAGATTCAAAATATCCCCAGATTTAAAGTTTAAAAGGTTCAAAAAGTGTGATAACGTCAAGAGCGGCTAAATCTGTAAACCAATGAGCTGGTTTTTGGGTGTACAGTGTGTGTGCATGTCTTGTAAAAAGCTGCACTTTAAGTGTTTGCATTGTGTTGTGACACACTTTTAGGTCATCTGTCATGTCATTCGCTGTCAGCCCTGAGGTTTCCGTCTGGTGTTTAGTGACCGGTGCGCTGACACTGTCGTAAAACAGAGGCGGTGTTTAAAGACAAAGCAAAACCAGAATGCGTGTTCACAGTTTAATATCTGTGTCGGGACCATTTTGATACAAAGCTGAAGATTTCAGTGCCCAAACAGCAACTGACTCACAAGTGAGCGCCTCACCTTTTTGTTTGCAAACACACAAGAACTAACGTGGGTCCTGGGGTTGTGTTTCTGAAGGTGTATCCTCTGAAATAATGTCTGAGAAGTTCAAATGTGGTGAAAAGTTTGATACCATGAAGTCATTCACTTAGCCCGTGTTACCTGCGGAGCTTTGTCATCATCAAAAAAGTTAAAAAAAAATACAAAAGTAGTCCATTTATAAAGGGAATAAACTCAGGCGGCTGTGGCGAGCTGGACTGGGAAGCTCAGTCTTCATCGCCGGGGGTGCACAGGTGTGAAGTGGAGAGCATCCTGTGCTCCAGTATCAACGTGTGGCATGGAGGCTGCACAGCTGCAGAAAGAAAAGCTTTGCAGAGAGTGGTGAAGGCTGCACAGAAGATGTTGGAGTCAGCCTCCCCACCATTAGAGACATCTACACCTCCAGATGCAGGAAGAGGGCCACCTGCATCATGAAGGACCCCACTCACCCAGCACGCACACTATTCACCCACTCCCCTCAGGCAGAAGCTTGCGGAGCATTAAGTGTAGAACCACTAGACTGAGGAACAGCTTCTACCCTGTGGCTGTTAGACTCATGAATCTCTAACCAGAATAATCACTGTGAAAAATCACATCATGTTGCTGCTGATCTGTTTCATGTTGCTGCTGATCTGTTGCATGTTGTGTTCATGCATGCTCATCTGCTCACACAGACTCATGTTCGTGCTGCTGTTCAGTATATTGTTTTTATGCTATTAGTGCTTAGTGTATTTTTATTAACGTTTTTCTTAGTTCATATTTTAGATCTTCTTACTGTTTTTCTTTTACATGTTAATATTTTTGCTGGATGTAACCCTGTGTACACAACTTCATTCCACCGCATGTACCACATGTGATGCATATGACAAATAAGGAACCTTGAATCCTTGAATCTTTGAATTTGTTGTTGGATTTTACTCTTAAAAACAACTTTAGTGTGCAGTACATAAAGTTTTAAAGAACAAATTGACAAACTAATGAGTGGATCAATGATGACTTAGAACAACAATCTCAAAGTTTCATAGATATTTTTGTAAATATTGTTTTGAAAATCTTTACGTCACTGTCAGTTTCACATCACAGTGAATGACATTAAAACCGCTGGTCATTTGCCAGCTTCAACAGCAGCAGCAGTTAGCTGTAGCACTTCTGGTGCAGCCTGGTTTACTTTAGAAAAGAATATCAAAATATTTCTACTGTCATACTGTTACTTTAATTCAAAGTAATACAAACTAGTCTTTTTTTAACAAAGTTCTGACACAGAGGAATTAGTTTAGCAGAAAGAACAAACATTATTAATTTTTTTTTTCAAAATGCTTTAAAATCTCTGAAAAATACGTCGACATATTTGAGGATGTGGGTTCAGTTTTTTACACAACCAGCACTTACAATGTATTTATATGTAATAGTATAAAAACAGAAGACGAATGATTAAGTAGTTCATAAAATATGAAACATGTATTATTCATATTTAAACATCACCTTCAGACAGAATGAAAGTTTTCAGCCTGTTTTTTAATTTATTTATTTATTGTTTTTTTTTATTTCTCAAAGAGACAGACTTGTTCATTATTCTTTTAACGTGTTCTTCATTATGGTTCTCCAGGCTTATTTCAAAATCTTTTAAAGAGTTTTTGTAAATGATTGATGCTTCTTGACTCATCGCAGTCCTTGTGGCAAACTGTTTTCAAGGAAATTAGCTTTTCATTAAATCGCTCAACACTGATAAATGAATCATTGAGCACGAAAAAAATAAATTCAAGGAATGAACCGGTGCTTGGTCCACAGTTAATGCTCAGTTCAATGAAAACATTAAATTAAATGCTTAAATACTGAGCTAACTTTTTTACTTCATTTGCTTTTCTGTAAAGTGTTTTAAATGGTCACCAAGCCTGGATTATAAACATATTAGAAAAAAAAAAATGCAGTGAGAAAAGAAATGCTTTTAAACTTCA